CTCTTTTTTTTTCAACTAATCTTATTTGAAATGATGATTCTTTCGTGTTATTTTTTACAACAAATATTTTATTAAACATCATTATCCTTGTTTAAAATGTTGCTTCAATTTATATGTATTTTCATCTAAGACAAAACCTTATAGTTTTATTCTGAAATTACAATATCAAGCATCGTCTGATGATTTTATATCTTACAATTATATACATATATGTACATGAAAATAAACTTGTATAATTATTCTTATTTGCCTTGTTTTATATACTTGAAAAAGATCTAAAAACCAAAACTAAGTCTTATATTCAATCGATTGCAATCATCTAGATATTTATCTTTGTATTCTTTTAATATATCACCAAAAAGATAAAAAAGCATTCATTTCATTCGAAGTCATCTTGTTCAAACAAATTATATTGAAGAATTATAAATTCAACATTATTTTTTATGACAAATTTTGAATCTATAGAAAAAGTCAAAAGACAAATGCTTTACCTGAAGATAATGAATATAGAAGATCTTGAAAAAATAAATGAAATTTATTTAAATCATTAAATTCTTTTAATTTTTTTGCCATTTTAATTTCTTGTCGAAAACATTTTGAACATTCACTTTCTTTTAATACTTTCATTACATAATATGGTGAATCTTCAATTGAATGATTATCTTTATTTCTTTCTAATAAATAAACCATCGATGATACACCAAATCCTAATTTTTTTGTTATCATATATCGATTACCAAGTAAATCATCATGAGGATCTATATTTAATCTTTTATATTGATAAAAATCAATATTCATTGTTAAAAAATTTGTAAATATTTTCCATGTATCTTTATTAACACCTAATTTTATTGTATTTTCAGTTGTTGTTGTTGACGTATCAACAGATGATAATATTTCGAATGAATAAGTAAACATTTCTAATTGTTGACTTTGAAAAAATTCATACGAATCCGAATCGGATTTCTTTTTCACATAAAAAAATTTGATGTGTGTATAATTACTGATAAAACCATATATCATTTCACGATGTTGCACTGCCAATATAATTTTCAAATATAATATTTCTTCAATCATTGAATTTGCTGATAAAGAAACATATGGATATATTAAATTACCAAGACAAACAACAAAATCTTGTAAACATGATTTTTCTTGATTAATATCGATATTTATATTTTTATATATAAATGTACAATGAGGATTAAACTTATCTTTTAAATAATATAAAGAAGATGTATTTAAATATTTCAATGATGTAGAATTATTCAATGTATTTAATAAATTAACAATTAATTGATCAAATCCTTTTGAATTTCTTCTTCGTTTAATTTAGGATATGATGAAAATTGATTTGAATAATATTCAATATAATTTAATATATTATCATTAAAATAATTATTGTCATTTAATACTACATTAATATCGAACGATTGTAAATCATCGGGTACATTGATATCGTGAAAGTATTTATGAGATTTAAACACATTAGGACCTCTTTTAATTGATAATGAATCAGATTCGATATCTAGCTTCCGTTTTTTATTTTGATACGATTCATGTATTTGTTGCTGTTTTGCTTTTTCGATTTGTATTTTCAATTCATTTTTACGTCTTATTATTTCACGTTGACGAACAAATGTTTCATTTATACGTTTATATATTTTACGTTCATGTTTCGTTGTTTCAATTTTACGTTTGATTTCTTTAATTTCATATTGATATATTGCTCGTTCGATTTGTTGCATATCTTGAGCTTCATGTTTCATTTTTTCGATTTCATCTTGATGTTTTGTTCTCTCGATCAGTTCAATTTCTTCAGCTTTGCGCTTCATTTTTTCGATTTCATCCTCAAGTTGTTTGATTACTTGTTGTGGTTTTTCTTCCTCGTCAAGTAGTTTTTCTATCAATTTTTGTACAGTTTCTTCTTCACCATCATTTGTAGCCATAGTTGTATAATTTTTTTAAAATTTTTATCTACCAGCAAAACAGAAAAGATATTTCATAAACTGAAAACAAGAAGAAGACACAGTCGAGTGATCGTAGTCAGGCAAGACCGAATAGCGAAGTGACAATAATGTGTAGGTTAAAATTGATATATAATTCACAACTGGCACGGCAGCTATATATGATCATGGAATAGAATAGAATCAGTCGGACGGCCGACTTCAGCCTGACTATTTTTGCCCTGAATAGTCGAAAACAATGAATGATATTAGATAATGTGATAATCAATGGATACAAAAAACATCATAGAGGTATAAACAAATTATTAAATGTCTTAAATGATGTTCAAAATAAGTCGCTTCGATCTATTTACTATTATACAGGGCATAATGATCTGATGTACTAACTGTGAGGAAGTTCAAATAATAGATTAAAATACTATGTACTAATTTCTAACCAATCATAGATATGTCGTAAAGTGTGGATATAAGTCTTTCTCACGTCTACACATTCATACTCTCTTCCAAATATTTGTAAAACGAAAATCTTCTTTTTTTTTGTTCTGGTACAATAATTAGATCAAATACTGAAACAATAGAGATATAACATCGACACTGTGGATCTCATATATTTGTATAACATTAGCATAAATTAAAAAAAAATGATATGCTCATTTACCAAATGTGTCACTGAAATCTGAAGACCTTGATGAGTTTTTATATTTTAAGCCCCCCCCCCTCAGAAAATCCAATTTTTCAGAGATAAGTCGAAATTGAAGTTTTATCATAGGAAGATGCAACGAAGTTTCCTCTTTCAGAATATCTATGGCTTATTGCAAAATGAATTGATTTTGACGAACGTATCGTCTAAAACTTGGCTTCTTCTATCACATTTTCCGAGAAATTTTCATGGTGTTTTTTCAAGGTTTTTTGACTTTTTAGGCTCCTTTCTTTTTGAACGAGCATTTCGTAAAGTCTTTTTTTATACTAATCACTATGAGACTATTAAAACATAATATTAAGATCACATATTTATAGCCTGTCTTGAACGCTGATATATAAATCAAGTTATTTTTGGGAAAAATCGCTTTCTAATACTTATTTTTCGTTTTTCTCAAAATTAGTTTTTTCGTCATGCAGTTTACGCAGGCAGGTTTTTCTCCATAACGACTCGACATGGAAGTAATAGTTTTTTTTTATTATATAGGATACATGTAGGGCTAGGACTTAACAGGCTCCGATTTTAAAATTTGTCTTTTACTGAAATAAAATACTTGGATATTTCATTTCTATGAGCACTTCGAATTCGAATATTTTTCGAAAAATGTTTTTTAAAAATCAAATAAAGGGAAATTCAAAAGATCGGAGCCTGTTAAGTCCTAGCCCTAAGGGTACTCTACAACTTGAAAACCGTCCGAACTTGTTAGCTCGTATCCTTATTGCAAAATCCTTGCCCGAGTAAAGGGTAATGAGTTGACTAGAACTTGTGCATTTCTTCGAGATTTGGGGGAGATATTTTAACCATAAGCTATTCTAGTCAAGACTAACATTCTCTGAAATTTTGGTTGAAATCGGATGAAAAATAGCAAAGTTCGTTTCTGAGGGGGGGGGGGGGGCTTAACGAAATGATTTTCTAATTTAACTAAAACTGTTTCAACACTAATTAGTAATATTCATGGAGTGTTGAAAAATGAATATAATCTTTTGCCTTTCATTTCTTTACTTCTATCATCCATTGATGTTCAACAAGGATGGAATCTGAAAAAAAATAAAACGTATAATCTATCTTTTTTTTAGATAAAATAATAAATAGAATGGAAACACTACCGAATGAAATTCTTCTTCATATCTTTTCTTATCTAACATGATTCGATATATTAACATCTTCTTGGTCATTAAATATTTGGTCCAATTCTCTTGTGTGTTCAGCTCTTTCAATAAGTGACAATTTATTCCCTCGACTGAAGGGAGGGTCATATGAAAAAAACTCAAAATGGGTTTGTGTGTTTGTTTGTTTTTTTGTCGGGGTCAGAAAAACATTCGGATCAAAAGAACATTCTACCGTGCACTCATACTTCCACTATGACCCATCAGCAAACCAGGGGTTTTCGAGGCTGGGTTATCCACCAATCATATTTTTTCGGTTGGCGGAATCAGCCAATCAGGGGTTTTCGAGGGTGGACCATCCACCAATCATATTTTTAGGTTTGGTGGATTCGACCAATCAGGGGATTTTGAGGGTGGGCTAGGGTGTGGGTGTGGGTGTTGTATGATGTGTGTGGAAGTGGAAATGGAGTGTGAAATATGCATGCGAGTGTAGGTTTGTGAATGTTGATTTGGGCCCACTAGTGCGTAGGTGCAGATGTGTGGAAGTGTATGTGTGACTTTGAGTGTGATGGGTTTGAGGCTGTGAGTGCGGCTGTTGGTGAGAGTGACTATGGATGTGGTTGCGTCTGTAGCTGCTGTTGGTGTTGATGTAAATATTTTGAAGAGGACGTAATTGGGGCTTTGGCTGTAGTTATTCTGGTAGACGTATGAATGTTGATATAGATGTGTGAGTGCCTGTATGAATGTAGGTGTGAATTTCGATGGATCAGGTTGTATGCGAGCCGCTGTGCGTAGATGTGAGCGTGTGAGACGATGACGTAAATGAATTACAAAATAATTCAAAAACACTGAATCACAAAATATTTCACTTTCTATTAGTTTCTACCAGGGTCTATCAGGGTTTCGCGGTACCCACATCGAGAGAGATGTGATGTATGTTGTTTCGCAGCACCCACATCGAGACTCTAGTAGACCCTAGACCCTGGTAGACCCTAGACCCTGATAGACCCTGGTAGACTTTAGACCCTGGTAGACCCTAGACCCTGGTAGAAACTAATAGAAAGTGAATTATTTTGTAATTCAGTGTTTTTGAATTATTTTGTAATTCATTTACGTCATTCAGTGAACTATTGAACATTGTTTAATAAACGAACATGTTTAGAGTAATACATTGATAAAATTTACTCGTAAATTCTGATATAGACATACTACAGTACTTAAATATAAACAGAATACTTACCTTTTTTCTTTTCTATTTATTTTTCACATAATCGTTGTTTGCTCTTCGATTTATATTACAGGATACAATATTCATCAGTTCGTTTACTTGACGATTTTTTCTTATAAACAAAAAAAGACATTTTTGAGAAAGCTAGAAATTTGTTTTATCTATTTATATGCAATTGAAATCAAAATTTTCTTAATCGATTTTAGGTGTATATATATCTTGTTTCATTTATCATCTTAAAAGACAACATTGAGATGACAGTCAATTTGTAAATCTCGTTTTAAATAAAAATTACATTTTCAAAACTCATTATTATGA